GGCTGGCTGTCTTTGCCCCGGGCTGGCTGTCTTTCCCCCAGGCTGTCTGTCTTTCCCCCAGGCTGTCCGAGGCCGTGGCGAGGCTGGCAGGGCACTGTCCCTGCTGGAGCCCTTCAGTTCATGGACTGCAGCAAGCCTCACTCGCTCAACTTCCCCTTTCTGTTTAAAATATAATGGGCTAATTCTTCACTCTGTTTCGCAGGAAGCTGGAGTTTAAGACTGTGTGTGATATGATTGTGTTCGGCAAGAACTTGTGTGCCGAGGAGGAATGCCACAATGAGAGGGAGGTTTTCTTTAGTCCGTCAGAATAAAATGAGTATGTTTGAAGAGGAACCACGAAAGCTGGCTGTGGGCGGGCTTGGTGCAGTGGGACAGGTGGTATTTTTAGACTCATCTACCTCTTAGATCTGACCAAATGGCATAATTTTCCACTTGTGTGAGGGGAAATGTGGCTGGTTGTCACTGAGTATTGGGTGCAATGAAGAGTTTAGGTCTTTCTGCAGGATGATCASAATCAGCCCTCCATCACCATCAAGAGCAGAGCTCTCTACTGTGGTGTGGTGTTTGGTTTCTCCTCTTTCAACTACCCGGGATTACTGAAACAGCAACCAACTGCAGGTCACCAAGACACTGTTTAAGAGCTGAAACTCTTAAACAGGCCTACTTGAAACTGAAACAGGCAGCAAAAGTAGGCTCTGCTTCCTTCTATCTTCTTGTTCCACCCTGATCAGGACTTAAAAGGATAAAGATTTTCACAAAAAGCAGACATAAGAAGATGGCTGACAACATGCCAGCCTTCCTCCTTATTCCCCCAGATGCTGCATTGCTCCCCTGCCACTCGCACTGCTTTAGTGTGGTCACCTCGGGCCAGGTCTCGGAGCAACCCAGGCTGTTTGCTTGAGCAGCAGAGGACAGGAGGACTGACAGAGCCCATGGATCCAGAACAAGAAAAGGTCATGGCACAAAGCAGGGGAAAAAAATGGCTGATAAATTTTCAGTCTCCCGATAAAGGTCCCATCTTCCAAGTTAACATAATCAGCATTAGGAAAACAGTCCACAGAGGGGTATCAACATAACATTTATTTGTGACTTCTTGTCCTAGAGGTCTGCTATGTCCAAACTCAGCAGGCCACAGCTGATGCTCTTCATGTCATGCATAAGCACAGTTTACAGTTCATCTCACAGTACGAAGCCTTGCAGCATTCAAGCAAATTTATGACAAATTAGAATGAGCAGAGTGAAACACTTTCTTTCCTTTTCACATCATGTTGGAAAATTTCTTCCAATAAATACTAAGAGAAACATATTACAAATCTAGAACAAAATTTAGGTATAAAAGTTCATTTCATTAAGTAAGTATTTGTTAATGGCCCCTTTTGTATGAAGGTACTTTGTTCTAGTCACAATCCTCACAGGCCCCTGTTTCAATGAAACCTCATTGTTTTTAGTGTCTTTGCAGCACCTCTAAACCACAAAAGCACAGAGCATATTTTAAGGAAAGACTCTGCTAATTGTGAGCTGTTGTCACATGAAGCAGTTGCCTACATGAAACACATGAAAAAACTGGGATTTCTCTCAAATCCTTTTCAAATGGACCTTGTTGAACTCAATTTGTAGCCTTAACTTCATTGGGGAAAATTAGTGTTTTCCATCTTCTATGTAGCATAAGTAACACAAGGCAAACACTGGGGACAAAGCGATGACAGTTTGCTCATGCCCCTTCTCAAAATTCATGTTTAAGGCAGATACTTCCTCAAACATTCAGAAATAGCAAGAGACTTCTTACTAAACAGCAAGGCAGGCAAACTGTGCCTGTCCCTGAGGGAAATGAAAAGGAGAACAGAAACAGCGGTGAGGCAACTGGTCCGCGTGTTGCTGGAGAAGCAACAGCTTAAAAGCACAGTCCTGTAAAASCTGTTTCCTGAACAGCTGACTGGAACATCACACTGCACTTAGGAGACAAGTGAGACAATTATGTTAATTCATCAGTGATCCCGAACAAAGATCCAGGCATCTCCATGAGCATAGTATTTTCAGACTTAATAAATTGCTTTACTGTTGTGCCATCAATCGTTTAAAGTTTCTTGCACGTGCAGATATCTTGTTTCCAAGAAAATGTGCTCACAGTGACAAATTACAGGTGACATGAATAATAAATTCCAACATTTGATCATCACTAGCATCTTCACCTTGCAAATACAGCACAGGGGCCATACATACGAACAAGAACTTTTGAGGGTAATTTTTTTTTTTTTTAATCACTAGAATTTGCGTTGCCACTAAATGTGGCTGTTAGAAGTCTTTGCCTCCATACCAAAAAACCCCCGTGATCTTTAGCAAAGTAGCTCGAAGGTCCTTTGAGCTTCGTGGGAGGCTGTGTGGGAACACAGCTCTACTGAAATAGTCTGTCTAATAAAAATGAATGTTTGCTGAAGTTCATGTTTTCAGAGTAGGTGTGAACTTGCTCATGTTACTCAATTGTTAGTTTGAACCTTGTCATCCTAATCGTGTTCAATTTGATACACAGGAAGCCTGAAATTTCTGGTGCTACTTCCTCTTACTGAGCACCTCTGCCTATCATCCATTTCTCACCACCTAAAACAGAGTGAACAGCTTAATGTATCGAGGGCACTGTGGGGTGGTTCCATTTGCCTTTGTGCATATTGAGCCTGTTGACGTTGTCCCTAAGCCCAGGCCTGACTGATGTTCCTCACTCCAGCAGTGGCACTGTCCCTTTGTTGTTTTGGCAGKCCCTCGCTGGCATACATCTCACTGTGTGTTGGGCACGCTGCTCTGGGGCAGAGAGACACCCTGGAGACACAGGAAACCTTCAAACAAGTCAATGGACCCTGCTGTAGTCTACTGGTAGTAAAAGATTATTAAAGCTAAAAGCTTCCGCAARGGGAAGGCATTTATTGTCAGGCAAAGCCCATCAGCATTGTAGGAAATATCTTTGTAATGCCAGCGTACCACCCTGACATCTATGGTGGAGCTTTCTTAAATGTTTACATTATTTTGGTGTTAAAGGTAATCAGCCACACTGTGTTGATGGGAACCTAGAGGAAATAAAAGAGTGAAATCCAACTATTTGAACATAGATCTTTTTTCATCTCTGCAGGCATTTCTTCACCGGATCCGACAGAATGCAGTGGACAAAGCTGAGAAGTACATAACAGAGGAGAATGTTAAGGTATTTCTTCTGTCTTCCTTGTTTCCTCGGTAGAAAAAGTGATATGCAAAGAAAGGTTAGCTTCAGGGACATAAATATCAAATATCCTCTTGTCACATTGATGCTTATTATTAAGCCAGTTCCCTAAGGAAAAGAGCTCATGTTGATAGTTTATCTGTAGTCTGTTTGCCCATTCTTAGAGCTGTCATCTTCCAGCAATTTTTCATCTCACTGGCTAATTTTAGAAAAATTTGACAACAGTGTAGTGTTGTCAAAGTTATTAAATTTTGGCAAGATTTGTGAAATGCTAAGTAGAGTACAGAGGGGCCATTTCAATCTCTTTGAGAGGAAAGGCAGGGAATCCACAGCCCTTGTCTATTTAGTTTGGCAATACTGAGTTAGCCAATTTGTATCTGCTGTTGTCTAATAGAAAATTAATAGGGCTTATGAGAAGGAATATTCCCATGGCAGGAATATTCCTTTGTGTTCTTGTGGAAAGGAATTTGGGTTCTTCTGGGAGATCTGTGTATTGTGAGACCCTTGTATGAGGAGGTTCCCAAATGGATTTTGCACTGGAAAGAGTTAAGGAACATAGAGAACTTTGAGGCAGAAGCTTGTCTAGTGTGTGTGGTCACAGGGGTGCTTGTTGTTCATTAATGTCATAAATACATAAAACATTTTCTTGTAGCAATTTGGCTTAAAAACTCACCTTGTACACATAGGCCCATGAGACCAAACCCCTCTTTGTACACACGTGCAAATGAAAGCCACTGCTGAGTGGCACAGAGTGCAGTTTGTTTGCCACCGGATGGGGAAATGCTGCACTTGCACTTGTCCTGGAGCAGGAGAATCAGCTTTGCCCTGAGCYCTGTGGCAGCCACAGGAGGTGTTAAAGCAGCAGTGCGGCTGCACTTGGCTCCTGTTCCCCTGGAGGAGCTGCCTCCTCATCGGTGCCATTCTGGGCTGCCCCTTGGGCACTTCTGCAGCCAGGGCTGCCATGCACTGCCTGCCAGCAAGGGGATGGCAGCTTTGTGCAGCTCAGCCTCTTACTGTCCTCACATTTGAAAATCCCCACTCTCCAAAAACTCACCAGCTAGTGTCTGGAGTCAATTCAGGGGTGGCTGAAGAAAATTAGTGACAATAGATCTTGTGTACATGAAAGCGTGCAAAAACTAAGCTCGGCATAAAAATAAACCTACACAACCATTTGTCAGTGTTGATGTTGTTGAAAAGTACTACTCTACCGTTAGTCATATATCATCAAAATGAATACTAATTAAGACTGCCACATAATCAGATGCAGTGCTCACAAAGCCTGTGCAGCAGAATTTGTATTTGAAGCTTCTTCGTGCTTCTTTGGGGAAATACCACTTTATTTTTGTGTCATTCCTGAAATGCCTGGTCTTTTTGAGGCCACTGTGAGACCTCATTTATTCCTGTAACTACAATACTAAGCTTTCAATAAGAGAGCTTTCCTTCAGTAATAGAAGGCTTGTGCCTATTTCTGGTGAAGCAGAGTCACAAGGCACAGTTTTCCTGTGTCCATAGTTTCCAGAGTCAATATTATCTCCTCCTTCCCCCCTCCATCTCTCACTGCACAGAGTAATTTAATTGTCTTTCCTCCAGTTGAAAGATACTTGTTTTTTATTTTCTGCTCCTTTCTCCCTCCTTGCTGGTAGAGGCAGGAAGAGCAAGGTGGTGTTGGGACTTTGGATAATCTACCTGCTGATATGATGTGTCTTGAGTCACCAGAGGGCTGTGAGATGGCTGATGGTGGAAGAGACTATAAAAACAGCTTGGCATCTTATGTAAGGAGAAACCTGTCTTTACTCTCTTTCTTTACGTGGCAGAAATGTCTATTCTGGCAGGCACTCACCTCTGAGCAAAAGGAGAAAATGCTTTTTCAGATAAATTGGGTTATTGCTCCCGGTATTATTTTGCCGATTTCTCCACAGCTGATGCCAAGCACCAGAGATTTCAGTAATCTTTGGCCACTGTAGCCCCCTCCAGAAAGACCACATTGAGTCCTGTTCCAGGCCCAGATCTTACAACTGCTCCAGTGACTAACAGCTGCAGCAGCATCATAAAAAAATTGGTTTTAGCTTATTCACTGCCTCGTGTGGGAATAAGTGTCCTGATGTGTTAAAATGATACATGCTCACAGCAGGCACTGCAGTCACTACCGAGACAGCAGTTTGAAGAGAGTACAACTTGGRCACGAGGGTGGTAACGGAATCAGGTACAGGAGCATGTGCAGTCAAGGTCTGTCTGCTGCCTTGATTTTKGGGTAAGTGACTCTCACCTGCAGATTCTGCTGCAAGCTGAACTTTAGTGATTACCTCAAAATTCATGAGCTTGCACAGATATTCCTTGGATCAAAAAACAGCCCTGAAGACTGCTCCTGCAGGATCAAACCATCCCTGACAGATGTTTTGCTGGTGCTCAGTTATCCCATTCTGGCACAGCAGCGCCGGCAGTGCCGCCCCATCGCATCGCTTTAGCCCCGGGACACAACAGGCGCAGGCTCTGCTTCAATTAGCACAGGAAGCTTTTTGGAAGCACTCAAAGGATCCTAGCTCCCTGGCCTTTTCTGGGGGCTTTTGAGCCAGTCAGTGCAAATTCAATGTGTTGGAATCTTTCTGCTTGTTGAGAGCTAGAAAGGAGCTGAGACACAAGCGGGCATTAACGATGGTGCACACACCCTATCTCAGAGTTCCTGAAGGGAGAGGGAAGCAAAGACAAGGAAGATGCAACGGGCTCTGCTCTGCACGTGCAGCCAACTTGAAGAAGTTTGACAGAAATACTCCGCCCATCCTCGTGAATAACAGAAAGTAGAGAATTGAACCTGAGGCCTTGAATTCCTGATCTAGTCTACCCCRGCTAAACCAGAGAGACACTAGTTTTAAGCCAGGATTTGAGGTTCCGTTCCTATGTTTAATGATTTGATTTAATTTACAGATTATTGTTTCTCTGAATTGCTGCCACATCACCAGCCACCAGGCTGAATGAGTGCCACAGCTGGTGAATAAATTCCAGTGCATAAAGTTGAAGAGTTTAGTGCTGCAGTAAGGCATTTTGGGAAGTGTTTGAAAGAGTTAGGCTCAATCATTTCCCACACCAAGTGCCAGGAAGATGGAGGCTGGCTCTGTCAGGCTGCACACTGTAGGGTCACCCACTCACTGACCCAGACCTGGGAGGCTTTGGTGGTTTTACTGCACTGCAGATCTTCTCTTTGCARGTGTCATAGTTGAAGCAAAGTGATAGAAACATCGTCTGCAASACGGATGTCACGGCAGACTCCAGGATTTACTCTGCCCACGTAGGCTTCCCTCCAGTGACTGCCACGGGATGGCATGAGGACTTCTTCCACTCTCTGCGTAGCATTCCATCTCCTACACGTGGATTCACACTTTCTTCTCACATTTTGTGTGAAAATGACTAAGACTTATAGTGCCTTTGTAGCATCTTTCACCCTGGCAGTTTATTCTCCTTAGCACACCTATATTGAAATCACAGGGATTGTTTAACTGTCACCATTACCTTTTAATACAGGGTTGGATGAGGGGACTCTTTCCCTCTACATGTGCCTTCTGGAGTCACTGAGGTCAGTGAAAGGAAACTCTAAACACTGCTCTTGAGGTTTGTGAGAATTGTACACTATTCTGTGTGCTCTGGGCAGTGAAAGGCTGGTTTCCATATGGCAGAGATTTTGTCTCCTGTGTACAGGTATTTCTTTGTGTGTGATAGCTTCAAGCCCCTTTCTTCCAGGAAGGGATTTCTAATGCATGGAAAGGAAAGGCAGATTCCTCCCTGCCTCTGTCTCCTGCAAAGTGACCTGGTCCTCGTGCTACCATTTACCTGGCTGTTCTCATAGGAAATAGTCTCAAGACTTAAAAGAGGTTACTTGCATTAAGCATGCTCAGGGATCTGCAAAGATAACCTTAATTTACAGCAGGTACTTCGGTAGCAATGAAGATTTTCATAAGGGGCTAGGAAAGGTGGAAATACAGTGTAATTCATTCTTTACAAATCCCTGCCTGACCTTAGGATCCTGTCATGGTAAGTCTAGAGCTCCACAGTATTTTGATGTTTCTATTTAGCAGAAAACAGATATATATTAAAAACTAGCTGATCCTTATATTTCAGATCTTATTTTCTAACATTGAAGACATTCTTGGTGTTCACAAGGAGTTCCTGGCTGCCCTGGAATTTTGTCTGCAACCAGAACCCCAGTCTCAGCATGAATTGGGAAATGTTTTCTTAAAATTTGTAAGTACAATGTCTTAATGATATCTGAAAATACAGTTTCCTGTCCTAAGCTCTCCTGCCCTTRGCAAGCCCTAATTTCTAAGGCTTGAAGCAATACTGTGACTATGTGTGTCTTACATGAAAGTTGTAGGTAGGGTGGGAAAAAACTTGTGAATGAGGTTGAACAATGGACACTACATCAAACTGAGCTAAACAACGAAGTATTTTTAGAAACTCTTCCTTTTTCCATTGAATTATTTTCCTTTTTTTCTCATGTCCAAATAATATGTTGCAGTTTCCCTATGTCTTAATTGCTTTTTTTCTAGTCAAGACTGTTTTCAAATTTGCACTAATTTGTGGGCAGTACTAATGGACCCAAAATGACTTATTCTGGAGAATAAAATATTGGTTAAAGATTTATTTTAACCAAGCTGAGAATTGCACAGACTTAACTCTGTCACCAAAACAGAAGGTCCAGCTGATCCAGCTAGGTCTAGCAAATCAGCAGATTTGCTGAGTAAGAAAATGCCATTTTGATGTGGTCACATCCCTGACCATAATTATACTTCAACCTGGAGTAACTGCAGCTTCAGAATTCCTGGGCTAACATCTGTAATAATGGAACTGATAATTTCCTCAGCAGGTTTTGGGAGGGCCCAGGACTGAATATCACCCAGAGAGGAAATGAAACACTTCAGACACGGAGCAATTTAAAGCATAGTTCTCATATTTGTGGGTTGCCAGCATGGGACACAGCTGGGAAAGACTTGAGGAAAGCGCTCTGGTGTGTGCATAATTATTGTACTGTCTTGAGCTTTAGCAAAAGGATTTTGTGATGATCTAAAAATAACGTTCCAAACTCTAGGCACTCCAAGCCCAGTCAGAAACCTGAGCAGTGACATTTTGTGTGCGCCTGTGTAATGGATGATCTTGTGTTAATGGCTGCTGGTTTTAGTTTCWAGCATGGTGCTTTGTGTGCATCCGGGGGATTGAGAAGAGGTGAGAGGAGAAAATGTGGGAAAAACTTGTATATCTGTATTAATCTGTAACTCTCCTGTATTTATGGTTGACAACAATCCTATGGTTGCCTTTTTTCTTTTGTGCTGTGGACCCAGCCCTGCCTTTTCCTGTATCTCATGGTCTGCAGCTTTTGTTTCTTTGCAGCTTCCCAGTATTGCACCCAGCAGCAACTGAACAGCTGCCAGTGAAGGATAAAAGTCTTGAACATCTGCATTCTAGTGCTTTGCATCAAACCCTTTGTGGCTGTTGTTTTATTGGCTTTGTACCATTGTTCTTGTGTTTGGACATCTATTGTTCTCAGTTCTTTCTTTTGAAATACCTGAAGGGGCAAAAGTCAACTAGTAATAAAGCAAACCCAGAAGCATTTTACAAACTGAACATGTATATCTACTATTGAGCATCTGGCCAGAATGTCAAATTCCCCTAAAGTAACATAAACACAATTGCTTTTCCATGTGACAGCACAAAGGGAATGCCCAGTGACTGAGCTGTGTTCCCGTGAATTCCTGCTGGCTAATTCCTTCAGCTGGCAGTAGTTTTTTGCTTGGATCACTGTGAGCTGTCTCAAAAGTAGCTGGATGCTGCAGATGCAGGGCTCTCACCCCTGAAAAGCAGGGCCTTTCCAGCTGGCTGCTTTGTGTSACAGTTCCCCTCCAGGTCTCAGAGCTTCTTTCTGGCCTTATTTCTTTCAGGCTGTGGTTCTTCCCAGCCACCTGTGTTTTTTCCTTCTGCAGCAGTGGTCAGCCCCCTTTGCTCCTGACTTAATTTTGCTCCTGACTTCTTTCACGGAATATCCTGACACACATGCAAGTATCCCCAAGATAGCAAAATCTCTCCTTTCAGCAAAGAATATCTGTGATCTGAGTGAAGTGTTAAAAGTGCTGGAAGTCTCAGTGCTCAGAAAAGCCTCTGTTGACTTGCAACTGAGTCAGTCAGGAATTAGTGGAACACCGTGTRCATTATTCACATTACAGCTGGGTCACACACTTTCATGAAAACTCCAATGCTTATGCCACTTGGAGTGCACCTCTTTTTGTAAAGAATTTGTTAACAGACTGTGGCAAAATAATCTCTAGTGGTGTCTGAGTCAATACATTACTTTGTTTTTCCTTGCAGAAAGACAAATTCTTTGTGTACGAGGAGTACTGCAGCAACCACGAGAAAGCACTCAGACTGCTGATGGAATTGAACAAGATCCCAACAGTGAGAACATTCCTTCTGGTAAGCACCTTCTCTAGCACTCTTRACTGAATGATCTGACATTGCCCCGTGCTCAGAATAACTCTTCGGTATCCCCGGCATGCTGGGCATTTTGCAGGTATTACCCATTCCAGGTATGGAGCACTCAGGGTCTTCCTTGCAAAAGACCTCCTTTTCTTTCTGCTCTTCTTTCTGCTGTYCTTTCTTTGCTTTCTGCGAAAGGTCTGTTCTTTCCCAGTGTAGTGCAGCAAAAGAAAACTTCTGCATAAACATCAGTCTCGAGCAGGGTCGGAGAATTCCTTTAGCCACAAGATACAGGCCTCAGGAGTCTGCCCTCGTGCTGTTGGGTAGGCAGGCTCTTTGTCAGGTCTGAGTTTTAGTGAACCTTATTAAACCATTCCTTTGAATTATTAATGACTCCCCCTTTCCTTGTTCATGAGTTTTTTGGGTGCTTCTGGGGAGGGAAATCAGTGAGAAAGTGGAGGGAAGGTGCCAACACCGTCCTTCCCAACATTCAGGATGTTCTCCACTTCCACTGGATTGACRAAGTCTCCTGTTTGTGTTAGAGACAGCAGCTGACAGACTGATTACAAGGCTTATCAAAGATGTCACAATGTCTGCTGTGGCTTGCTGCAGCACCCGAATCCAAGGGACTGTTAAAAATGCAGTAAACATGGCAAGAGAGGCTGCTCTGCTGTGTCTACTCAGCTGTGGCTGCTGTCATTTCTTCCAGGCCCCCCTTCCCTTCTCCAGTGCCCTCTAAACCAGTGCTATAATGCTACTATGCAGAGAAAGCAGCATTAAAATACAAAGCTTTGCTTGTGAGGGTAGATTTGGCCCGATTGCCCCCTCACAGCTGCTGAAACACAGAATGTGGGAATGTGTTTGAAAAATCAGTAAGTGTTAAAGGGCTCAATTTTGAGCCCAGAGCTAGAGAGAGGGCTGAAAGAAGAGATGGGAAGGACTGAATCACTCAAGACTGGGAAACTGGACAGGGAGCATTGTGAGCTGGGTAGGCAACACCACAGATCTAGAATAGCCTGGGGACGGGTTATTTTACAGACAATTGTCTGTAAAAATACCAGTTAGGACTAACGAGATTTTACGTATGATGTCTGTGAACATTTCTTGAAGAGAAGAATTGTTGAACTGCAGCCAAAAAGCCCCACTAAATTTCAGACTGTCTCTGAGCCACAGCATGTGTTTCACAGGGGAAAATGTTACTGGTGATGCCCCAAAGCAGACATTTCTTGGCTGAACTGCATTTAAAGTTCAACTTCTGTGTGGACAGGACAGATTTGCAACTGGAGTGACTTTTGGAGCAAAGTTCATATTCGTGGTTGAACATAGTTTGTCTGAATTATATTTGAAGTCCACCTGAATCTACTACCTGTCTCTGGCAGCAGCCAATAGTAGAATCTTCAGGGAGATGTATAAAAATATTACAGTAGGTCAGCATTGATTTGTTACACAGATTACAGATTATTGTAAAAAATTAAGGACAGATCAAGGACTGTAAGGGTGTTTTTCCCCCAATGCCATGCCCTGTTTTTATAGTCCCCTTCTCTTTCAATCCTGAAATTAATTTCTGTAGTCTATTGGAAAGTTCCACGTGTGCTGGTTAGCCAGCCAGTGTGCCCAGGCTCTTTGTCCAGCTGTGCTCAGGCATTACGTTTTGCCAGAGAATTGGTGGATGTAATGCAGATGACTCATTTGTTTCAATTCCAGTTCAATTTAGACATAAGGATTGGACTAGAGTTAATTACATGATTACTAGTTAGTAGGCTTTATTTTAGCCTTCAAGAGTTTTCTGGACCAGCATAGTGAGCAAAGAGGACTGGTCATATCTGTTGTGGGGGTAGATTGGATTATTTTAGGTAATGGTGCATCTAGGTTTGCTGTTTGCCATTGTACTGTTAAGACATTTTTAAAATCATTAGCTGCAAAATATTTCACTAAGGAGATACCTTTCTGCACGGCCATTGTTATCCATGGCAAATTTTGTTATCCACGGCAAATTTTCTTCTACTGATGCCTGCAGAACTTTGCAGGCGTGATGGCTGTATGTCAGTGGGGAAGAAAGTGCCATTTCCTGTACCTTAGTGTGATTGAGTGCTTTCTGGCCMTAATGCATGTTTTAGAAATACAAAATCCTGTCAAAAATCATCTGAAAGCTTTGTGTGTGAGGTAACATTTGTTTCTTTTTTTGATTATAGGGTTGCATGCTTTTGGGAGGCAGAAAGACAACAGACATTCCACTAGAGGGTTACCTGCTGACTCCAATTCAGAGAATTTGCAAATATCCTCTTCTGCTCAAGGTAAACCAAAGAAAGTATTTCTCCAGATGGTTCTTTTATTCTTGGAATGATTCTGCATTTTTTCAGCCCTGACTTTTGTTGCCACTCTTGCGTTCTCAATTTGCACTTCTGCAGGTTGGATCTTCTCTGAAGAAAAGGGCTTTTTATGGGTACAGGCAAAAAGCTGCTTGATGCTGGCAGGCTGCTAAATCCTGTAATGGTCTGGGTAGAGCAGACAGGGTGACTTACTAAGCAAAGCCTTTTGACTTCAGTACTTTTCAGATGTTTATTAAGGCTTTTGCAGGCTGTTTTAGCCACTTCTTGTAAAACTGTTTAGCTAGAATTGTGCCAGTGTTCTGAGAGACTGGATGGCTCTGCTAAGTAACACACCGAAAAGAAATACCTTTGATTACAAGGYAGTAACATCATTGATGCAATGACATTTTGGTATTTTTTGCTTTAAATTTTCCCATTCCTCAGCACTACTCTAAAGCTGGTCTTCCAGGAAGTATGAGGTTCCTTATAGGGATTTGAGGAACTACAAAAGACTAGGAAAAATAAATATTTCTAAGCCATAATTCAAATCTTTTGGTGTAAATGGCAGCTGAAGTCATTGGGCGCTGGGGATCAAATATTGGTGGAAATAAACTGTGGTTCCCAYACTCCATGACATACAGAGCTGTGTGTGTGAAAACTCCTGGGGACCATTACATGATAGTAATATTTTTTGCAATTCTTGTCTGCTTCACACAGTATAGAAGAAAATTAGTGTAGGATTTGTCAGTGAGTAAATCAGATTCTTATAATTGACAAAGAGGCTTGGACTGGGTGCAAGCAAACCCAAACTGTGCTGGGCATTGGTTTTTGGGCAGAGGGAAGGTAACAGAGGTGAACAGACTCACGGACCTTGAGGCCATAAAGCCTGTGAGCAGAGGTTTGCAGCAGAGCTTTGCAGCAGAGGTTTGCAGCAGGAGCCTTTGGCAGCTCCATCTCACCCATCATCATTGTGGGGCTCCATTAACGAGTGTCAGCCCTACTGCTTAAGAATAGAAGCAGCTGTTGTGTAAAGCGGTCTGGGAACAAAAATAGGGTTTTGCTCTTAATAAAGAGCATGAATGTCAGCAAGGAGCAAAGCCTGGGGCAGTGGTGATCATGAGTTGATCACACCACGCTGTGGGGATCAGACAGTCCCTGTGTCTCCCTGCTCTGGCACAGGAGCAATGGGCAGCACATGACAGAGAGCACACAGCTCCCAGGGCTTGGCCTTTGCCTCAGCTCTGCTCTGCTAAGGATTTGCTTGGACTTCAGCCAGAAATGCACATTCCACCTCGGATCCTTTAAAAATATCTGAGTGTACATAAGCCAGTGGTCGATTAGGGCACTAATTATGCATTGCTTCTCATGGCGAAGGGTCAGTGGCCCTGGGAGGGGCAGGAGAAGCTGTGTCAGAGAAGGCAGCAGTCAGAATGCCCTTGGCAAGGAAAGGCCAGCAGTGAGGCACACACAGGCATTCATCATCACCGCCTGCATTTTGAAAGGGAAGGATGGGGAGCCAGTGCTGTGGCTGCAGAGCACCATCCAGGACGGTCTCTCGCTTCTCTCTCCCCGTTCCTTCTGTAGCTGTTCCAAAACCAGAACCTTCTACTTGCCCATAATTGAATGTATTTATCTTTGGG